TGGGGATAAGCTTAAAACAGTTTCAACAGCTTTTCTAAATGGATATTATATAGAATTTAAGAGAAAAAAAGACAATAACATTATAAAGAATCAAAATAACTAGGAAATTTATTGGATGAAATCTACATGTTGTACTGTTTGTATGTTGAAAAAATGACACATATTTATTCAAATGGAAATAGATTATCCTTCTTCTTGAACTCTTATAGATACACAAACAAATGTTTAGTTGTCATATTGTTCATGGATAACAACTTAAGGTCACCTTTATGTTCTATGACCCGTCAAATATCACGTGACAAATCACTAATCAGAGCACCGACTTATATAAACTTGTCCCTGAAATAAATCAGTAATGCGTTAACCAGCATAGAATCAACTCTGAGTCATTATTAGACCTCTGTATATTAAAAATTTAAACAATAATGTTCGGTAGAACAGTTCCGAAAGTTCAACTTTGCTTAATACTCATCCAGTTTTATTAGAGTAACAACATGAGCTTTAAATCATTTGGATTGTATCTAGCAGTGAAATCTGGCACTCACGTTGCGTCTTACTTGGCATTCGTCAGTTCAGTTCATAATTTAGTTCTTTCAAATAGTGAATGAAGATTTACTCCAGAAAAAGTGATATAAATCTATGATCCTATAGGTAAACAATACAATGTAAGGTCAGCTGGCCACACAAATGATCTTGACAATATAACTAGGTTTTTAAGAATATTTCCTCAACTATCATTTGGATTACTAGATCATTTCATTGGCTAGTACTTGTTAAGTTCTTATGCCCTATAAACTATCACGTGACCAAATCGACAATTAGAACACCGGCTTATATGACCTTGACGCTGCGCCAGGTCAATGGAGCGTTAACCAGTACGAACAGTCAACTCTGAATCCATATTGGTTCTTCTCGCCTAGCCCTGTCCGTTTGAATCCAGAACACAATCTCAGTTTCCACTGTATGAATCATGTATTTCAGACATACGCAGTTTATACACGGTCAAATCAGACCACATCATTCCATAAAATAGAAAATAACAATTATACAAGATCAAGCCCAAAGTGTCTGTGAGTGTGAGAGATTGTAACTAATAGATTGAAAATAACTTAAGAATGGTAAATCATATAATAGCAGTCAACAAGTCAAATGGAAGCTTATAACAAAAAAATATGAATATACATGATATAGTTACTTAATAGTTGTATAACAAGAATACATATAATAACAATGTAAATAATTCCTGGCAGTTACCGTTCGCTTATTCTTCGTTCGGATGTAACAGTTACAATTAAAGGTTTAGAGTTAAGGCTTTAGGACTATGACATCCGAGTTACAATTCGGACCAGGACTAAGAGTTTCAAGTCAGAATTTCGGGATAGGATTGATCTATGCGCAATAAACAATCCGCATAGAAAGAATTGAGCATTTAAATCATTTACCACTATCATTTTCGTTATGTGATAAAAACTAACATAGAGCTATTATTTTAAACATCCAGAAAATTAAACAAACATAATTCTACTCCTCATTTTATATGATGTAAAATAAAGGTTATGCATATTTGAAATTAGCTCAAAAAACCCAAAAGTTGTTTCCTCGGTTTTAATTAGCTCACTTTTATATCAGAATTTAACCGGTTATGGTTTATTATCACGAATTCTTAAGGTAACATGGCTGCGATCCCACTAAATCAATTCCTTTACGGTAGTGAAAAATTCTTTTGTAGCGTCTGCTGTTCCGATCATATTTGCATTATTGTCATAGCACCACTTATCAACTTCAGAATTTTTAATGCTATGATTTGAGATTTGATCATTCTCATATCCCTGTTCTCTTCAGTTCTCATAAATTGAGTAGCCAGAATCTTCAACTCTTTCAGTTTATTATTGACAACTATATCACTCTCAACTTTAATGAATCTGATAAGCCAGATTGAGAAGTCTAAATGTAGACCGAAACGTCCATCCTAGGTTTTCTGGTTTTCAAAATTGCTCAGCTGAAATCACTTTGTGGCAATAAAAACTGTAATCCCTATTATTCAACCAAATTTAGCTTTATAAACAAAAGTTCATTTGTCCGTGAAATACACTTTGAACAAAACCTCATATAATTCTTGAAAATCATTAAACTATTCAGCTACAACGTAGGACCAGGGACATATATGCATCAGTTCAAGTTGACACACCTCATTAGCAAAAGATGAACACCAAATTTTTGAAAGTAGTTACTTCAATAGTAGTAAAAAAACATTTCATATCGGGATACAGGGAGAAAGAATTAGTTCGTAAGAAGAAAGGTATTAAGTAATTTTAATCCCACAGTTTAAGGGGAGACAAAGAGTGTATACACCCACGATCGATTCTGAGTCATGTCACCCAGTCTCCAACCATTATTTACGACAGTCGCACGAACCCCAACCAGTGGGACTATATGTTAATGGAAATTTTGACTTATAAGAGTTAAATACAATAGTGTTGTAAGTCTTGGCTCTATAACGAAAAGAACTTAAACTCACTTCCTAAAACTTCATCTTTTTATGGTGTGATCCGTTCGAAATGTAGCAAAAAGATAACATAATAGATTCAGACACACATGTGAAGATATTACATCAAAATATCAAGTAAGAATTTCACATTAAAAATAAAACGCATATACAAATTATTTTTTTCAAAATAAATTGAAAACACTCATCTATAAAAGAAATAATTACTAGTAAAGGAGGCTTGTAAAGGTTGTTGAATTAAATTGAATTGAAAATTCAGCATTTCCCACAAATCCCTTACACAAATAATGATTATATGACCTGGTTAGAGAGGCGATTCCCGGAGTTCTAATGAGAAGCAATAGTCAATGGAGCTCAATCATGTCGAGCATGAGACAGTCACCCACTAATCGCATTAAAAGGTGGTTCCACAATATCATTAGTTGATGTTAATTGTTAATTTAAGAGTAAGTCTGCTTTAGTTTAGGTCATAGATGCATATATTACGTCTTTACAAAGAACACCTGCAAAACCATTGTAGACCAACATTCCGTGTTTCAATTCACTTGGTATTGTTTACTTGAATCTCCCCACTGATATTTCGGACTGCAATCGACCAGTATCTTATTGGCATATGTGCGTATTGCCTCGATATTTGCCTTAATTCACAAGAATTATAAGCAAGGATGGATAGTGGGTAGCAGTGGGATCCAGGACGCGCGTTTCATCCTATTTGAAACTCGTCAGTTGGATGTACCTGCATTTCAGAGTTGACGTCGCTATCAGGACTCAATAGCTAAGCGAGTAACGCGATGGCGTTTGGAGTGAACGATACTGGGTTCAAACTCTAGAGTGAACATCAACTCCGAGATGCAAGCACATCCGGCTGACGAGTCCCAAATAGGACGAAACGCACGTCCTGCATTCCACCGCTAGCCAATATCCTTCTTTGCTTATATTCTGTGCTTTTTGTCCTAGTTTGGGAGACATGATTTCGACAGAGAAAAAGGACGGGGATAAGAAACGTACTAACAGCTTGAGGGCTTCAGAAAAATGGACTCTAAAAAGGATTTCTTAAAATACAACCCATTGCTGAAGTATTATAACTGCCTTGGTGAGACAAACTAGATCAACTAATCTATTAACTTAGGATGTATTTAAGCAATCACAAATGTTCTCTTTCGTACATTCCAAATAATCATATTTATTTGACTTTCCTTACTTTACATATAAAATGTCTTAAGTAAATATATAATTTTTTTAGAAACAGTCGTTCTAGATGTAATGAACATATGCATCACATTTTTAGACCAGCCCCATCTACAGATTATGCTATCAAAACTCATAAAACTCAGTCATTTATAATCAACGTAGACATTCGCACATACCTGAATCGGTTTAAGTTACCATGTTACATTAGCACAGTAAGATAAAATTATCAAGAGAAATGTCAAAATATTGGAGGTAGTCACAGTACCAGTAGTAGTAGAAAACAACAGACACAGATAAGCTCCCCCCAAGGTTTCCAATGGTAGCCTAACATTGATCGATTCATGACATCAACGAAACTCAACAATCACCACAAGTCTATACTCACAATAGATAATACGACCCGAGAATGAATTTACGGACTGAGAAAGACAGTCTTTTAAAGCTTAAGATCTAATGAAAAATAATGAGTGAATGCATATGGGCCATTGTGAATGATTAAGTGGTCAACCAACAGTAACCATAGTTGTGAGAACTACAACAAAGTAGCCTGAAGCTAACAAAACGACTGTGCAACTGTCAATTGCTTCACAGATTGATGCCACGTTCCGGTTGGGCCACTCCTAGTATAAAAAATGAGAACACCGATGGGGACAATCAGATGTATTCAAACTTAAAAATACAGAATCTCTTGGCAAAATTTCAGAACCATACATTAAATTTTTCATTTGTAAAATGTAAATTGTCTCAGACTTGGCTGTTCATTCGTTTCCATATCAATCACTCTGTTCTCGTTGTCTTCCCATATATCTTCTTAACCTTCTGCCGCCAGGCATTTCACTTTCGATTGATGATACATACTACTTATATATGTTGACGCCAGTAGCACACACCACATTAGCTTTCTTTCAATCAACTCTCATAGCAGCAGACATTAAATAGTGGACGCAGTGATTGAATATACGTAATACATATCCCCACCAACTCAATCGATGAGAACTTATTAACTCATCAACTGATTCGGTGTTTTTACCTATAACCACGTATCTAACTTCAGAAATGTTCAATTGGTAGTCATAACATACACAAGCACCGTTCACAAGGGATATATAGATAAATACTAATAACCCACCGATATATTCTATTTGCATAGTTTAAGTGTAGATGTAGACCAGTCCAGAAGCAAAATTATCTTAAGAATCATGAAATCACTGTGAATTTTGAAACTCCAATTATCCACTAGAATATTAATTTCCTAATCATAAACACAGCCAAGTTATCCTCCTTTACAAAAACGTGATTTATCCCCGTGTGATCCAAGTTGTGTAATTATTAGGCAATTTCTACAGCATATAACGAATATAAATGACAAAAACATAGAGGATCTTTAAACTCTGAACGAGTGAGTAGAAGAAACCCTTTTTAGAAAAACCTAATCACTTAACTTTATCAAGAAATTATGATGTTTCTCCATTGTATCCTATTTAATGAGTTTAAACATAAATCAGTAATATTTCTATGTTACTTGAAATAAAAAAAGTAGTTCAATCTAAATGTATAAAATAATTAATTCAAAATATCAATATTCCTTTTATAAACGTTTGTTTTTGTTCAAAACTGAGAAAAAAAACTGCTTTCATTAAGCTCCATGATTCAGCAAAAAAGACTTCACTTTTTCTAACGCTTTATATCGATGTGATATGGAATTTTTTATAGATTTATCCATTTCAGCATAAGTTTGTTCAAAGTTATCCGGTTGAAATATGCAATCCCATCCAAAATCACGTGGTCCACGAGGTGAAACAATACAACCTGATGTGATACCAGTGAATAATTGTACTGGTTTTTCGAGGCTATCACAATAAGCAAAAGTGCATACAGCCTCTGCACGATAATCATTGAAGTCAATCAACATACGAGGTAGTCCTAAACAAGATATTTAAAATAAATGAACATAAAATTAGTGGAAATGGTAAGGTGAATTGAGTACATATTTATAATAAGTTAGAAATTAAATTCATGATATTTCTGTGGAAAGAAGTAATCGTATCTACTACAAGCAACGGTAAATAATGAACGAACAGGTAGGGGTGAATGTTAGTGGTCCCTGACTTAAGAGGCGGCCATCAATCTATAGTGATTGAGTGTTGGTCTGAACTATTTAGTAAAATCTAGACTTTCTGACTATGGTACACACGATAATCGTAATTTATTACTAGTGACCTAAGGTGAAATATAGCTTACAATGAGCTACAGTGCAGCAGATTCATTCATTTTCTTAACCTCTTCCAAATGTTGAGTTTTACTATGAGAAGTGCCTAAAACAATTAGCCATTTGATTAAAAATTTGAAAATCAGTCCACCAAGTACGGATTCAGTCACTTGATTTTGAGGGCTAGTAATATTGCTCGGCTGTTCAAGCCGAAGTGAAGGAAGTGATTGTTGGGGATGTTAGATTCCCAGAACTCACTTGGTAAATGCCTTAATTTTGTAATTTTATTTTGGAAAATCAAATTTCCTTGTTTTCGCGACAAAAGCGCACTTTTCACCTTCATGTCGTATTTCCCACTTGAGAGAATCTTTAACGCCATTGGTCCGTTGTGTATTTTTAGTATGCAATTTTGCAACGATTCCCAAGGACATTCTTATGCTGTATATATACGTTTGATTTGTGTCTATTATTATTCACTCGTGCTTCTGGTTTACAGAATATACTTTTCCCGTTCCAAGCTTGGACTTCTTCCTCTAGTTAGCGGGGCTGGGACGCATCAAATAGCTAGCTTGTCGGTCTACGGTCACAAGTCTTTGTTCCGTTCGCATACTAAGTGAACTCGTAATAGCTTCAAACCTAGCGAAATTTGGCGACAGGGATGGTATTCGAACCCGCGCGGGGAAACCCCAGTGGATCAGCAGTTATAACAGTGATGTTCCGACATTTGACTTAGAGGTCGAAGCTTCTTAATTATAATTGCATACACACATAAAAGATTTTCTATGTTAGGTTATTTGAATATACGAATTAATAGTAAACACTATGTGAGTAATATTACATGAACAAACACGCAGCCATATTAAATATCACAAATATCCTTAATGCTCTTTATGAAATACTTTGACCTGTACCGACGATATAAATGATCTGTATGGAGACGAATAATATGGTGACTCTATTATTATTATTATTATTATTATTATTATTATTATTATTATTATTATTATTATTATTAACGGCTTTATTCAATATTATATTTGTACCATGGTTAGCTTATCTGTGGTTTAGAGGTTGACCAATCAAACCCAAACCACTGAGTCGTAAGTTTGAAGCCAACTTTACCTACTTCCATATGAACAACTGGATAGTAGCATTAGCCCACAAAGTAAAACTCGATGGTTGATATATAAACCTGTGTTTGGCAAATGAGTTGCACTAATTTAAATTGGCATTATTGGATAGTTTGTCTAACAATGCAGGTTTAAATATCGTAGAAAGGATGAACTGTTTAGAAGTTGTATACACACATTATTCGATGTGTAATTGTAATCAAGTATAAACAAACTTCAGGACCTCTTAGCGATTTACCATTAAATCCCAACACTATTAATACAGACGGTAAACAACTGTAAAATAACTCATGAATTAAAAATAATACTTTGAGAAGACAAAACGACGATGGGATGCAATGTTAGCATACTACTTAACAGATGATTATTTCCAAATATGTACTCAAAGCCTACAGAATAGTGACTTACTGTCTGAATCAGTTGGCTTTCAACTAGTAGGTCTTACATGGTATGAAAAATAGCTACATAAGACTGGCATCTGTTGGTCCATCACGACTCCCTATCTGAACACCTAAAAGTGACGGCCAATGACTCAGAACAAAAGCCAAAAACCATCCTGATATGGTTTTCTATTACAGTGTTAATAAAGACAAACTGGACCCTAAGAGATGAGAAAAAATCCGTTCTGGCTGTATCGCTAATTGTACGACCCTTTACTCTTTCATTTCCTCACAACACAACGATCTCATATTTTGATGTTCTATTGTACCGAAATTCATAAATCCTATTAACGAAAATAAGCAGTCGATAGCATGTTTGGACTTCGTTCCATATATTTCAATTAGCGTATATAGTGTGGCTCAGAGATGAGTACATAAATCTGTACTTGGCAAATCAGTCAAATATTTGATCAGTTTCCTTGGTCTAATAACCAGAGTATCTTAGCACCCATGAAAATCAACAACAAAGTACCACCATAAAAAATGCAGTATATACAGTTTGCAACCAATCACAAAAGAAAATTAAGTTTATTAACGAAAATGAAACAAAACAATTACCATCAGGACCAACCGCTTTTAAAAACCATTTAATGAAAGGCCCAGGCATTCCATTCAGTGCTTTAAAACAAAGTGCTGTATCTTCGATTAATACAGGTCCATTGATTATTTTAAAAGCAGATAAACATTTTTGTATACTCACTTCTTCGATACTACCTTGAACTTCAGGTAAATCTAGATCAACTGTTTTTACCTATTAAAAAATAATGATATTATTGTACTATGAAATAACTCAAAGTACTTTTCCAGTAAATTCCTCACCAATAATTTTAAGGAATTCAGTCAATTTGTTTGGATTACCAGTTACAAAATTTAACTGACGCGACATAAGTCTAAAAAATAAAAATGAAATGCATAAACTAGTGTTTAATGGGTGGGATAATGAATTACTAAAAATATAAATAAAGAATACAATTTTACAACTATCAAAGGTTATTTGACTGAATTAGATCATACCATAGTTCTCATTCTTGACAATCCCATCATCCGATGAGGTCAAATATCTGATCGTAAGAGAATAAACTCCAAGTTAGTTGGAAAATCAAACTAAGTGCTTCAATTTAGCACAAGTTAAAAGGTGACTTGTGATATAACAGTTACGATTTTATCAAGTTAATGAGCACCAGAATATCAAGTAATAGGACTTTGAAGAAGAATCATTTGTAAACACTATGAGTGTAACAAGAAACTAGCTAACTAAAGTTTTAATCTAATACATTTGTATTTAAAGTTGGCCGAAAAAATTACTAGAGTTTAGTATTTTTCGAGATTAGACACATTTTCTGGTGGCAATAAACGAGAAAACCAAAGCATTTTATGACAATTCGGATGTATTATATGAATGATTCTACGTTTGTCGAATACTATTATCAAGCAGATCATTATGTACACTGATCATCACGGCGAGGATATATTTACTGTATCCCGTTGAATAAAACTAAACAGTAAATTGACTCATTCATTAGGTTCTCTGGTATGAGCCACACTTTAAGTTTGAAGGTTAATGATGCTACTCAGTTACAGAAACATTAAGCTGCAGCTCTTATTTCATAGAGACAGTTAAATGTTTTACGATACATAGGACAATCAGCTAAATGGGTACATAGATACCTATGTTATACATGATTCTCGATTGTTTAAAACTACAATATTACATGTAAACGATCAGCCCCAGATCAGTGGTCAAAAGTCAGATGGTTTGAGTACTTTGAATGCCATTGTTTCATAAATAAAGAATGAAATTAACATAAAAACAAATGAGCAGAGATAAGGTAACTTGTAGGGGTTAAAAGTAACAGCATTTCATAAAGATAACTTTTCTTTACTGATAACGAGAAACGCTTTCTGATAGGTTGAAAACCATAATTTTTGGTAAATAAAGATAATTCCAGTAATCAGTACCTTGACGAAGAGCTAGTAAAAGACAGTTTTTTTTACCCTCATTTCAGTACGGATTGACATGATATATGTAACCATTAGGTTGTTATAGTCCGAGTATAACCAAGCGAGCCGTTGAGACTAAGTGTCCTAGGTAGAAAACAACCAGAGCCAACAGATGCTATTTCACCAATTTTATTTAGCTGATTGGATGTGATCACGAATTAACAAAATAAATAAAATGAAACGTGGAATTTTCTTTTTCAACTAGAAGTACTTACTGAATCGCATACCACTCATTACAACGAAAGGTATACTTGGACGCTGATTCTCATTGAGATCAACTCAGCCTGAATTTATTCAGGATAAGCATACAGCGAGCTACACCTGTAGCCCTTCTAGGGTTACTGACGGTCCCAAGCCAGAAAATAAAATGAATGTTGGGCATGGGGTCAGAAACCACATCATGTAGAAAAATCCTTGCTAAAAAACACCAACCAGAAATAAACAATTTAGACCATTCAAACTCCGCCCTTGAGAGTTGAAGGATCCTTATTTATAAGAATTATAACGCCTCACAATCAAAGCTAAGATTCTTCAGAAATCACCTGACCGATGCCTCATCTAACAACTCGAGCAACAATTAATATAGGTACATGTTAGGTTCGGACAATGTACGAGACTGAAAAGACCAGTCAAATAGCTGAGGAAATAAGGAGATACAACTTGGCGGTTCTCGTTGTAAGAAAAACCAATTGGAACCAAGTTGGAGGTGTTGTTGTACTCTAGTCATTAAGAAGTGCTTCGAACGCACAACGAGTTTCACTGATACTGTCCAAAGAAACACGAAAAGCACTTATAGAATGGGGGTCTCATGGATCCATAATCATCAATGCATCCTTTAAAACAAAGGAAGGGATCACAACGAATGTTATTCAGTGCTAACCACCCACCAATTATAGCAACAATGACGACAAAGATTGGTTTTGTGGGAGGCTACAATCGATCGTAGAAAAGTGCCCAGGAGAGGACCTGACCATCCTGATGGAAGACCTAAACACTAAGTAATATTTATTTTATTTTGGTGGAGTTTTGTTCTCTGAGCTGGATGGATGGATTAAACCATCCAGCTCAGAGAACAAAACTCCACCAAAATCATCCACCTGAGCTACAAATCTTCTCCACCATTTATTTTATTTAAACCCATAAACATTGATACAAGGAGGCACCAAATACATATGTGCCACACAAATTCGATTTGCGTGAGGGCTGGAATATTGCCTGATCGCCCAAACTGAAGCAAAAAGGAACGAGAATAGTGAGAGATTTGCAAATTTATATACCTTAAACGAAATGGGTATAAATGGCACTATATTCCCCCACAAACGCATGCACAAAGCAACATTGGTCTCACCGGATCATACTACAGAAAACCAAATAGGTCACATTTGCATCACTAAAAATTCAGGTCAGTGAATTCAAGATAGCTCTCAACAACAGGTTCCAAGCCTTACAAGATCTGCTCAAAAAAGAAAATACTATGGGGAACAACTGGAACGGAATCAAAGAACCATTAACTTCAAAGAGCCAGGACGTGTCGGGACACGAGAACCATCATCATAAGAAATGGATTTCTATCGAAACTCTGAACAGGGTTCAAGAAAGGACAGGAAAACAGCAACTACCAACAATCGAACAGCAAAAGAGAAAACCAACGTGCAGGTTGAATACACAGAAGTAACTAAGCAAATAAAGAGAAGTAAAGATGACAGGCATAAATACGTGGAAGAGCTAGCGACGACGGCGGGAAAAGCTACAAGAGAAGGGAATATGAGACAACTATGTGATACGACGAAGAAACTAGCAGAGAGATATAGTAAAACAAAGACGCCAGTCAAGAACAAAGAAAGAAAGCTGATGACTGAGATTCAAGAGCAGCAAACAGGTGTGTAGAACACTTTGAAGAACTCTTGAACAGACCAGTCCCATTGAACCCACCAGACAAATAAGAGCCTACAGACCTTCATATAGCTTTACTCCATCAACAATAGAAAAAATCAACATGGCCATTAGACAAATCAAAAGTGAGAAAGCAGATGCAGGACCAGACAACGTACCAGATGAAGCACTGAAGTCAGACAGAAATGTAACTGCGAAGATGCTCCATGCACTATTCAGAGGGGTTTGAAGGGAAGAACAAGTTCCGACAGGTTGGAAAGGATACCTCATCAAGATATCAAGGAAAGGATATCTCAGCGAGCGTGAGAACTATAGAGACGTTACGCTACTATCAGTACCAAAACATGTTTCAAAAGTATCGTTGAACCAAATGGAAGATTTATTAGACGCCCAACTTCGAGATGAACAGGCTGGATTCCGTAAGGATCGATCATGAACCGACCAAATTGCGTCTGAAAGTGTGAATAGGAGAACCTTATGGAGCATTCCTACCTGAGATTATCAACATTATACGAAATTCTTATGAGACTACAATGCACAGTCGTGTATGGAGGCCAGATGAAATATCAACTCCAGGTGAAAACCCATGTCAGACAAGGCTAATCACCCTAGCTCTTTCTCTTTCTTCTGGTGGTCAACTAGATGAAGGTCTCCGCACTTCAGAGGAAGCACGGAATACAATGAACAGCGTGAATGCAACTAGACGATTTGGACTTCTCAGATGACCTATCTCTTTCATCCCATACACCAACATATACAGATAAATGTAGTCAGTGCAACAGCAGACCCTGAAGCAGTAGGCGTCAACATACATCGAAAGAGGAGCAAGATCCTCAAGTACAACACGGAGAACACCAACCAGATCAGGCTTTATGAAGCTCTGAAAGACGTGGAGACTCACGTACCTGGGCAGTATCATCGATAAACAAGGAGGCTCTGATGAAAATATAAAGGCACAAATTGGCAAACAAAAACCCAAGGATTCCCAAAATTGAAGAATATATGGAACGCACAACAACTGTCAACTAATATGAAAGTCAGAATCTTCAATACGAACGTCAAGTCAGTTTACTGTACAGAGAGAAAACTTTAAGAACGAATACAACCATTATCAAAAAATGTACAGGTATTGATAAACAATATTGCGTACACAATATTGTCTACGCAAGATACTCAATGTCCGTTGACCGGATGCCATCAGCAACAGCCTACTGTGGGAGAGAACAAACCAACTTCAGACTGAGGAGGGGATTAGGGAAAGATGTTGAAAGTGGATAGGATACACATTGAAGAACTCACTGAACTACATACATGGTGAGGTGAGCACTAAATTGAACTCCTGAAGGGAGAAGGAAAAGTGGAAAAACAAGGGACACATTGCGTCGGGAATTGGAGGCAAACATCAAAGGAATAAATAGCAACTGGAAACAACTGGGAAGGGTCGCCCAAGACAGAGTTATCATTATTATTATTATTTTAACACACAGATATTGGTACAAGGAGGCACCAAATACATATGCGTCACACAAATCTCATTTGATATGTGTGAGAGCTGTGACACTGCTCGGGTGCCCGAACCGAAGCAGGTGGTTTTCCTAGGGGGCCACACCCTGAGCCTTCGACCTGAAGGTCTGATCCACAAGGCAGTGGAGCATCGTAAGGAAATGCAGTCCCATGGTAGCCGGTGAACAACAATCGGCTCATAAGCCATTTGTTTTCGCAGGATACTGGAGCCCATGTGCAACATTGGTTTGGATCCGGTTAAAGCGCCGGACATTTGCTTTTCGTCCTCTCGATTTCGTAAACAACACCCCAGCCACGAGAAGGCAGTGAGTAGGACTTCCCTGACAGAGGCTATATATGCTGGCCATGTGAGAGCATTTCGAGAAAGAGAGCGGACTCTCCCCACTCTCAGTCGTACCAGGGCATTTGGGGGCAGACTACTTGGTTGGGCTCCGTGCGATTATCGTAACCAACGGTTGGAAACTGGGTGACATGGCTCGGGATCGATCACAATGGTGTGGATGTATACACCTGATGTCATGTGTTGGCTGGGTCGCCTCCCTTCATTTTCGACTAGGACCTCTACGTTATTACCTCTTGCGGAGATGTCTTTTTACGTCTTTCGGTTACAAATCCATTAAAAATAAGTAACGTATCCATCGTAAGAATCTGGAATATTTTAAACGAGACGTAGAAAAAATTACGACACCCCAAGCCCCCGACGTTGTGACAAGACTGATAAATGTTGGAATTTTCATTTAAACGCTGGAGATAATTTCGAGAAATCACAACGGAAAACCCAGAACAGGCCTAGGTTTGAATTTTTTCGAAATTCACCCAGTTTCCCAGAATTGGTAGTGTGAGATATCGCACACTTGACACGTGACATTGTTACGTAAAACTACTTAATTTATGGAAAAAAGACAGCCTTTCACTTATCTTCCACAATATTTTATGCGAAACATAATCCCTCAAGAATTCAACACTAAATTAACCTTGGAACTATACTGAAATGATAAACACAAAGAACCAGAAGAATTCGAGTAAAGAAGGATGACTACTATGGTAGTAACGCCAAGATAGAGCTGGTCGGAGAATGCAGGTGGGTGCCCTATGCTCTTCCACGAAGGGTAATAGGCGTAATTAATACAGTGCCTTTAGAATTTGATTCTTCAACAGAATCCAGAGTTTTGGATTTAAATCCAAAACCGATAATGTGGAGAAACTCAATATACACTCATAAGTTGGTCAGTGTGTAGCCTGCAAATACCTTACCGAAAACGGAGTGGAAAAGGTTGTACATTCATTTAGTTGTGGGACACCACTGAGGCAGCACGAGAATCTTAAACGAAGACTAAGTATGTAGACGCGTAGAGTGAACTTGTGTGACGATAAAAAGCAATTTAGAAGCGTCAGTTAATGAGCGACTAACAAGTTTTCTGCATACATAAAAAAGCCAATCCAATAGTTATACAAATGACCTAGTCAGACCAGCTGGATACAAAAAGGCGACTACATATAGTCACAACTATAGTAGCATTGCTTGATTATAATCAAGCATAAGTTGACTTACATGCATTGCTTGCCTGTACAATGACAGCTGACGTAAATCACCAATGAGCTTAATATTATGTCCCAACTAACACCTACTTCCGGTCCCCTTGAAATAGCTTAACATTAGATGTTAAGACAGGTTTCTTGGACAGTCTTGAGGCTTTATCATATATTTCCGAGGACTCTTAAATCTTCACATGCTTACCGCTATTTCTATCATGAAAAAAGGACACTTTCACGTACATGTGAGAAATCTTTCACTGAGAGTTTCACTTGTATTTATATATAGAATAAAGTTTACGGTTGACATGACCACAATATATAGACGAACCAATCAGATCCAAAACATCGAGTCTTGGTATTTAGCGCGAGATCCAAATGGTTCAAATGTAGCACGTACTTGCAAGCAGGAGCGATCTGAAACACAACACAACAGTCAGGACCGGTAGATGCCACTGAAGTAAGAACATGGCGTACTGGCACAACAGAGATATATTTGAAAATTGAAAGACGCTGTCCGAGTACAAAAGGGAAGCTCATTACAAAGTGGGTTTATTCATTGTTCTGCAGGTTCAGCTTGCTTAAGGCTTAATCCTCTTCTTCTAGTACGTTCACTTTTTGTTGCCCTGCAATAAGGAAAACAAACTCAGATTATTAACGTCATATGTAATGATTTTTAATGCCGTTGTGGACGGAATAGAAGCTTTCGCTTAAAAGGCTTCCGTGTCTAGTAGCAGGGGATCACGAATACCTCCAGGCAGGAACCTAGGTATGTTAACGATAAAAGAGGAAAAAGAAATTGGTAAATCATAGTATGATGCTATCCTTAGACCTTATTAATAGAACAAGTTGCCTCTTAAACGACTCCTGGGTAGTCGCTTGGACTAGTTCGGCAAACAGCGAATTCCAGCAGTTGACAACTCTTAAGGAGTAGAAGTTGTGTCTACACTCCGTTCTTCTATATTGTGTCTCCAATTTCTGGATGTTACCCCTTAGGTTGGTATTGGGACTAAGCTTAAGTAGGTGTTTAAGAGGATGTCCAGAAGTCTTAAGGATACTGTAAGCCATCAAAAGGTCACCTCTAAGAAGCATAAACTTCAATGTGTAAAGGTTAAGTGATTGGAGGCGCTCTTCGTAAGGTTTAAATTTGAGTCCTCGAACTGATTTCGTGGCTCGCCGTTGGATACGCTCCAGAGTGTCCTAATCCTTTGGGAGTGAGGGAGGAAATACTATGTTTCCGTACTCTAAATGGGGACGGATAAAACTGTCTAAGATTGTATGGAAAGTTCTACCTTCAAACTGGCCAAAAGTGCGCTTCAATGTAGCCAGTGCAAGGCTTGCTCGAAAGGCATTTTTGTCACAGTTAGCGTAAGACTTTAAATTGTAGGGCACCAGGACGCCTAAATCCTTTTCAGCTTGGGATAATACTAGAGAGGAGTTTCCTAAGTTGTAACTGTTGTCTGCAACATTTCGTAGATGGACTACTTTGCACTTCGAAGTGTTAAAGGTAAGTCCGTTATAATCTGCCCAACTTTGAAGTCGAGTCAGATCCTCCTTCAATACTGTAGAAGATGGGTGGGATTATACAAAACGTCCTCACTTCACCTTAATGTATTGCAAACAGGAATAATGGTCATGTTGACGCTCATGTAGTCACTTTATCTGTCACAGTATGTTTTTTGGTTGGAAAAGCTAGATTATGCTGTGAAGTTTGCTCTGGCTGTGACCTTTACTTGCCACATCTGACTGTGTTACACCGGACATCCATTGCATTCTGTAATGTTATTCTAAGTCACAGTGAGCCTAGTCAAATGGTTGTTTTTCAAAGTAGACCTTCAATGAATAGTGTTATTGGAGAAAGGTTTATTGTGCTCTAACCTGTTGGCTTCAGGATTGTGGTCGAATTGGGATTACCAATTGTAGCGTGGTGTCGAGTCGAGATTAACTATGAACACCGCTACCAAGAAACACGTGCCAAATAGATCAGAAGGCGTAAGAAGCTCGTTCAAAATGACTCCATAAAATCCCCGAGAAGCCGAATATCAGAAGGCAATTAATGGACCAAGTCGATGTTTATTTGCTGGCGATTTCGTGGCATCGAAAGGATACCGAGATCGTGCCAGGATACAAGCTTGGTTACAAAACGTAACCGAATTCGCGCGAAGTTACAATCAAAGTGTAAGTAAAAGAATGGAAGCACAAAATAGCTGTCATTAGCACAGTCAAACAAAAGCACGTTAAAACAAACACTGGTACAGTTGGTTATAATAATAATTGTTTTTATTAAACCAGTCGTGTTCTCGTGATAAACGTGAGTCACTACAGGATCAAAACAAAATCGTTTGTTCTATATTCGGTACGTTTTATCGGACTATATATCGTGTTTTTGGTTTATAGGCCTGATTATCTACATTAATTTAATTTGAACAACATGTATGTGCAAATGAAAAAAATTTATGACGCCTGCTTAGTTTGATATTCTTGGTTATCGTATAATTCAGCTTAGTGCTTGAAGCCTTTAATGAAGCAGAGCAGTTTGGTAAATCAAACTACACTGACCTGAGTAGCAACATCATAAGTCGAGGAAGAATAACGAAACCGTAGAAATTAGCACGAACTCTCTGATCATTACGTAACTTGCGGAATTTCATTACATCTAAACATTATATTTTGTAGCTAAACCAGAAGAACGTTGGAAAAACACAGAACTGAGCAGACGAGCTGCTGTTGTTCACAGAGATGGCGGAAATGATAATTAGTGCTCTATTCTGATTGGTCGCTAAGTCTACTGACAAAATTTCGAAACGAAATTGCGTTTAACTGCAGACACGAAGATAAAATCCGTATTCTTAATCCTGACCTTGTACTTGACAACCAACCATAAGTGAGTCGTGAATAATTGTTTTGCGCTATCGTGGTCCATGATGAAGGGCGTGTCTCGTTCTCCGTCAATTTCACGGACCTACGTGGAAAATGTGAAATGTTTTACGACGGAAATGCCACTGCATTATTCTATGGACGTGCCAAGTGCTATGCACACACTCATGATGGGAAAAACGTTCCAACGTAGCACAAGTCATACCTTCAATTAACTCTGTGATAGAAACTGTTTCCAAATATCCACAACTCAGTGACTAAATAAAAGAAAACGATCATATTTACTGACAACGATCTGCTCAGATAACTTGACAACTTGAGTTTATCCCTAGCCGCCAATTTATTTTGGCCTTATAGTTGGTGTTGGTTTGTGGTAAAGAAGTCATGTTATAATTCTAAATTCTAGCTTCCAACCCTCACTTATTTATAATTCATTATGGAAATTTATAACTATTTTGACACAAGTGAAATTTTATGTTGCCAACGTCATCATAGCATTTAGTAAAGATCGTTTGAAAATTGTAGATTCACACAAATGACCAAAAGAAAATAGCTTAAGTAGATATTGACGACGGCTTTTTAGTATACTAGGACATACCCACGCCCGTTGATCCCAGTGAAGGAGCATAGGCCGCTCACCTGAATTCTCCGACCAGATCTGTCTTGGGCGACCCTTCCCAGTTGTTTCCAGTTGCTATTTATTCCTTTGATGTTTGCCTCCAATTCCCGACGCAATGTGTCCCTTGTTTTTCCACTTTTCCTTCTCCCTTCAGGAGTTCAATTTAGTGCTCACCTCACCATGTATGTAGTTCAGTGAGTTCTTCAATGTGTATCCTATCCACTTTCAACATCTTTCCCTAATCCCCTCCTCAGTCTGAAGTTGGTTTGTTCTCTCCCACAGTAGGCTGTTGCTGATGGCGCACACAAGAAGAGCTGTCCAGAGTCAATGGTCCGTTTACCAATGACCTCCGTTATATGCAGCAACAATTCTATTGCTAAGCTGCGTTGCAATTTGATCTTGTGAAACAGTTGGTATAACTTTTGTCGATCGGTCAGGTCTAATTGTTTACCGCCGAACCTTTTAATTGTCTGTTAAGGTTATGAAACTTCAGTAGGAAACATACTAGGTTTGACGTACTTGTTAAAATCGCGCGCAAGTGCCTTACCTACTATTAGAAATTGGGCACGTGGGTCTATTTAGCCATGCTCATGTAAGCCAGCCTTTGTGTGGCAGAGTTATACCTTGATATTATCGAGCCAATATGGTACGAGTAGATATGTGGGTGTGTAAGAGTCTTAATCATCAACAGTTTAGGTATCCGTTTTGTCACAATGGGCATGAAATATATGAAAATGGATAAAAACTTGGATAATGCGAAAATAATAAAGCGATATGTAAAAATGAAAATCAAAAAATGGTATGTAATATCACAGTTTATAGTTTAGTGTACCGGGTCAGGTCGAGCTCACCAATGAATATGTCACAGATGTTCAATTTGACAATGCCTTTGTCCGTTACAACTCCACAGTAAAAGTATACTAACCCGGTCAAATCAGAAGTCAAGAATAGATAAGTCGAAGATATATTTAGAAGGTTGTCGATGTGTTGAGGAACGTTTGATATAAGCTGGCTAGTAGCTGCAAGAAATGGATAGCACGAAGCACCCACTCGTGAACAGGTGCCAATGTGTGATCTAGTGCTTTCGGCTAGGATGTGTCCATTACAATGTACGAGGTCAATAACAATGTTGAAGACCTGCAGAACTATTTACGCTGAGCATTTACTTACCGCTAGAACGGCTATTATCGTTTTAGTTTTTAACTATCTGGCTAAAATGTTATGGGAAACTTTCAGAGTTTACTGAAGAGATTTCTCAAAAAATGCGTTCGGTAATTAGTTTTTTGATTTATATCAAACTCTCTGTTCTTCAATAACCAAAAAACACATCTCTAAATTACCGTTTCGCCTTGATTATTTCATGTTTCAGGTGCTACTTCTATTTCCTTAACAGCCAACTAAGCAACCTCAATCTTCTGATAATATCACTTCATTATATACAATACAGTATTCCAAGTTTACATGGTTTCTTAATCACGGGCATTTCAGCCTTACATCTGACGAGAATTCCTTTACCTTTGATATGAAATGGAAAACAGAACATATTCAGCTTAGAAAGATGATGAAGAGCAACACAACCCAAACAGTTTGCTTGTAGATTTTGATTTATACAGTACTTCACCCGCAAATCTATCCGTGAGAAGTTTTTGATTATCTCGTAAATTTGTTTAACTACGCCAATTTATATTCTTGTAGCATTGAAAAATATCCGGTCTAGATGTTTGATGCATTCAAACACAAACGGTGTCCATTGTCTTAAGAAGAAATAGGTTTTGTTACTAATAGTCTCCATGAAGCTCCATATTTCCTGGTTTACTTGATCAAATCGTACTTTTGGCTCAAGAATCTTCACATATTTGTGATTTGTACTGGGTCGTCCTTGTTGTGTTGTGCTCCTTTTGTGTCACTTATTCGATATTAAGGGCAGGTGAGGGTCATTAGTCATGACAGCATATGCGTAAGTATTTTGCTTGAGATTGTGTTTTTGGTATCTATATGTCATTATTTTGTTGTTACTCAGATAATCACACATATCTTCGCATGAGAAGTCGTCAGAAATCTCACTGTGCACTCGAAAACGTAATCATATTGTCACTACTCAACTTAATAAGTTATGTATTAAATATATCATACGGTCAAACTAGGCTTATCAGTGGAATCATTGGCAGTTAAACGCCTGAACAAATAGTCATAGGAAGCCCGCCAGCTTTGCCAACTTGTTTATCATTTAAAAGTCTTAGATATTTAAAGATAAATAGTAAGATTCCCACAGTTAAGCTAGTTTTAAAGCTTCAAATTTTATTCTAATCTCCGTTGGCGTCTATTCATCACAGGTTTCTGGATTCGGGTAGAATCATGAATTTATTTAATAAATGTCTTCACTTTTCAAGGCGTCATAAACATTCAGTTTTAAATTAGGTGTGAATGTTACCGTTTTTCATTTAACCCGTATCTCATGTTGGTTGGGTTGGCTGACCTAGTGACCAGTCCTATGTTAAAAACACAGTAACCTTGAATATTGTTGTAGTTTATTTCAAGCAATGGAAATGAACCTAGATCGTAATATTCATTATAGCATTTACCTTTTGACCAATCCATTATTTCCGGACTTAATTTCTTACATCAGCCTTTTCATTACATCCATCAGCTCAACCCTTCCACCTTCAATCCTAGTAACTTGTCGTTTGTGCTAATTTTAGTTGTAGTAGTTTGAATGGATGTACGTTCGTACTAGGTTGCACGTTGTTTGTAACTAACTCCACATTATAAGCTTTTGCTAAATGAATCGAATTGTAGTTCCCTGACTTAATTGCTTATGTTAACCAGTCAGCTTAGACGTGACCATATTTCTCACTTATTCAATCTTCCCAACTCACAAACTTGAAATGTGGCCAGGCATCATGCACTGTTTGTTTGCGTAGACCACGTATTTTAGTTCACGAAATTACATGAGTGAAACCATAGTCATTAAAATTCTTGACGAAATGCATAAGTTTTATAAGTTGTTACCTAAAATTCAGTCATTTAGTCCCCAACTGTCAGAAAATGATTCATAATGAATGTTTTTGAATACTGATCACAAGACTTCATGGTGCTAATATCATGGCCCTATTGGAAATATCCTGAAGTTATCTTAGTTTCATGTTTTTAGATACACAATTACTCTACCTAATCTCACCACTCTTAGCTTTTGTCAAAAACACTGAATAATGTGACGATGGGAGTTTTTTCATAGCTATCGAGTATCATTTATGAATCCTGGTCTTTTTGAGTTAAGTATGTTTTACTGCTCTGTCCGACCAATATTATCTTCAAGCGATCGCTGACATGCGGTGACATCATTATGTTAGTAATTCTGTGGTTAAATCGTCATTTTCATTTTATTTGTATATGGGCTGTGATACTGCCCGGTTGCAGAGACCGAAGCAAGTGGTTTTCTTAGGGGGCCACACCTCGAGCCTTTGACCTAAAGGTCTGACGCACAAGACAGTGAAGCATCGTGAGATGCAGTCACACGGTAGCCGGTGACCAATGATTGGTTCATACGGCATTTGTTCCCGCAGGATACTGGAGTCCATGTGCACCATTGGTTTGGGATCCGGTTAAGGTGCCGGACATTCGCTTTTCGTCCTCTCATTTTCGTAGACAACACCCCTGATACGAGAAAGCAGTGAGTAGGACTTCCTTGGCAGAGGCTGTATACGCGTGGCCGTGTGAGAGCATTTCGAAAGGGAGGGCGGACCCACCCCACTCTCGACCATACCAGGGCATTGGGAGGCTAAACAATGTGTTTGGGTACACTGATGATAATTTGGTTGGTGTCACCATCTTAAAATATTGGTCTTGGTAACGTGGAGCTGTCTCGCCAAAGTCGTCACAGCGACTTTCATTTCGTGCACTAATCACCGACTCTGGGACATCGTAAAAAGTGGAGAGTTTATCAGTTTGTAACAGCACCGTGGTCTAAAAGTAATCTGTACGGGATTGATATCTATCGATTCATTTCAACCCCGTGGTTGAGGGGCTAGAGTGCAACTCAATGTCATGAGATTCTATAGAACACCGCTCAGAAGCCAGTGAATATTCTGTTGTAATTCCTCTTCATTCTGGTTAGTGTTTTTTCCGGTAAAGTTGCTTTCTCCGGTGTGGGGTTGCCGGCCCCACACCTAACCCTTCTTTATCCGGGCTTGGGATCGGCAGTAGCCCTAGAAGAGTTACAGGTGGAGTTAATTTCCTTTCACACTTACTATTCATTTTCGGCTGTACTCATCCTCCTTTATCTCTTCACAGTTCTATTTCCTTATTTGTGTGGTGCATACTTATTTTGGTACTCATTTGTACCATTACATGTACTAAATAAAATAAATAATAAAGGAATAGACATTGCCACTTCCGTTTATCGTAATTATATATGTTGCATATAATTCCGTAGAATATATGCTTTAATGCTTGTTTACAGAAGGCTGGAGAGGCTTCTTAAAAGATATTTCAGCTCTAAAAGGCTTATGTACCTGAAGTGTTTTAATTAGCAGTCAGTCAGCTACAACGTAGGACCAGGTACATATATGTATCGGTTCAAGTTGCCATACCGCATTAGCATAGCAAGAATTTTAAATAGCTTGATGACGTCGTCTCTGATTACTACCCAGGTCTGAATTTTCGAATCATTATTTCTTAAACTCAGAAGTGTTGGCTTGTATGTCAACAAACACCAGACTAACGTTCACATCCCCCTGGCGATTATCATCTCACATGAACCAAGTTATCCCATTGATGCAATAGTTTCCATTTCAATAAAACGCCGAAGTAAGCACTAGAACTGTATCTTGGTTCAGTAACATTCGATAACCATAGTGATTAAACGTTCATCCTTCACTGTTAGATCAGACAAACTGGCAAACCTGTTCATATCCAAACTACTGAATATTATTTGTATCCTATAGTTTCACTTAAGATGGACAGTAATAATTATATGTTGATACATACTAACCCTAAAAAGTTCTTTCAGTTTAACTTGACAAGTAATATTGAGTGCTGCTTATTCACACTAATATCTTTACTCAGTTATCTTGTTTACCTTACGGAAAACTACAAATTATCTTCACCTGACCGATTACACGCAAAGATTCCTTTTCATAGTTCTAGTTTTTTGTTATTTCCACATTTCTCCACTACTTGTTTATATTGTTCTACCGGTAGTCATATAGTCTACAGTTCACTTGGTATTCTGGATCTTCCAAAATCATGTTGTTAAATACCTTCACAGCGACATCTTGTTTTAAGTAATTTGTCTCGCTACTCTCTGGAGCAAATGTTCGAAATATAACTATGTTTCAATGTGACCACATTTACACCTTACTGAATCCAAATAATTTACAACTAAATGTCTCCTTTAAACGTAGCTAGGTGACAGATGCTAGGGATCACTTTAAAAGACAATCACCTGAGGATTGACGCAAGAACTCGAAAATAAGGAATATTTCCAGGACCTTAACAAAAATCGCATATAGGACGTAGTATCAGGAAATGTATACTGAGCTTCTCGACTGCAAGTTGTTATTTTCTGTGATGTGTTTAAATGTCACGAAGTGCTTTCTAGTCTACATTAAAGCATATTGTGTATTTAAGACTCAAGCCTTTAATACACCCCGTTACAGATAATTTTGATGGTATGTTTGCTGCGTACATGTTGCAAAGCTGCATATTAATTACTTTTTCAGCACCAACATACCTGCCATAGATCCCAGTTTAGGACAACTCGTTGAATTACCAATAGATCAAGCTGGCGCATACGTCATCCAAGATGCAAGTGGTGGTCAAATCCAATTAGGCAGTATTCAGGGTGGAAAGAGTTTACTGAAACCCGAATTAGCCCAACACTTAAGCCAGCATACTGGTTACAAGGTTAGTTTATTTAAGATCTCATTTCTCACCACATTTGTGCTTACAATTCTAATAGACATTATCTATCCTTTAACTTTTTTCTTTCAATTGCACTATTCTACGGTTTTGAGATATTAAGCACTAAAGTTGGCTTCGTTAATCTGAAAATAACAGCATGTGTTAGTAAAGGAGTCTGACCGCGACCTCCATTTTGGTGCGGGAGTTAGGCTTGAGAATCGTTACAAACCAAACTGTGTTGTCCGAAACACTCGCTTCTTTCAATCCTTTTATTCCAAGATGGTTAGTTGGATAGCTGCAAGACTAAGAGCATTAAATGTGAGGTTGGAGGATAGTCTAATTGTTACGGAGATTCAACAAGCAGGAGAACTACGGGTCACCGGTAACTTTAGTTATGCTACATCCCCTCAATTTAGGTCAATACACAATATCTCAGGCTCCACGTTGATAATGACTGGCCGACCGATGTTTCCGAAAATACAATGGGTCGGTTCTACAAGTACTGTACAGATTTTCTTTTCCATGAATGAGGTTAAGAAGATAAAGTTCACACAATAAGAACATTGTGCGTGACCACCCTTAAATATATGATGATACACAGGTCTAGAATGTCACAACCATCATGAATCAGATTTTCTCTCAGATTCCTCAGATTGAGGAAATGTCCTGGATTATAAGTGTGTTGACAGAGAATCTGATTAAAAAACCTCGTCTAAGTAGGTCTCAGGAGGGAAACTTTGACCGTCTAACTGAATATGAATTCTGAAATTATAGATTTAAAATGTACAATAGTCAACCACACTAGTGTGCTTATGAGTTGTGTTGAATAAATAAACAGGGATGATGATGCACGTCACGAAAAATCAATGATTATTTACATCTCTTCGCCATGACCCTATGAAGTGTATGTCGTTCACATATACACGAAGCTCTCACTTCGAAATATCAAAATAAGCGGTGTTCATTGTTCGGTTTTCCTTAACCCCTCTGTTAGAATCTACTTTAAATGATGTGCATATATGAATATTTCATAACAAATGTTCACCATACAATCTAACAATTTAAATGCTATTGTTCTATGTTTCTCCCTTCATTATGGTCCACAGCAGTGATGTCAAGTCTGCGGAAAGCCTAAAGTGAAACTATTAGCGGAAGGCATATTATTGAAGAGTGCTAAATAAAATCACTCACTCATCACGTTTGTTAAGATTTGTGGACCATTGGTAATTTCTCACTAGCTTTTGTCATATAGATTAACATTTCACTATACGTACAAAATTGAGTAGATAGTCAAAAATATATCTGGTTAAGCAATCTTTTTTCGTGGAGTTTAATTATTTTCATGAGAAACATTACCCTACAACGTGACGTCGTATAGAATCAAGACTTACATTTCTTATGATTTCTTTTTTAGGATGAAACAAGAATCCCTGAATTGCTATTTATTTAAGTGAAATAACAGTCCAACTAAACAAACTGACCTCGTTTCTCACCACACCGCAATCATTCGTACAACTTTAAGTTGCCTACAATATTTTGGCTTACTCGTTGACTGACTTTCAAATAATGTCACCTTTTTTGTTAGTGTGCTTGAGTAAATCCATACTTGCCATTCATAAACTATCTCTCTAATCTATTTTATCTTTTAGTCGAATGTTGGCAGAGGAGGCTTCACTTTGAGTAGTAATGACGCTCGTTGGGTTTCACTCAATGCAAATCGTGGATCACGTAGCATCACCAGGTTAGTTACTTTTCCAATAATATTTACAACGGTAATATAGCTTAACAATGCTAATGTTTATATATTCATCCAATTCATTTACTGTCCCGAACTCAAATCCTCGCAAATTCTTAATTTCTTAACGTTAGAGTATTCCGTAATAAACGGTTGAGATTGAAAGTCAGTAGATGTTAGTTTATAAAATTTTAAAGTAAATTAATATCTATGTTAGTTCATTAGATCTCGCATCCCACTAGTTCATTCCTTGTGTTTCATGAAATTTATGGTAATATCGATGTTTCATGTTCAAGCTTAATTTAGATTAGGTTATTTGAGAAGGATTAAGAACTATGTAAGTTATATCCCTTTTGTTGTTGAGTTTCAAATTTTCTAATGATTAAAAGACAAGACGAGATTTTTTTACAGAAACGAGTGTTTCGCTTTTCCAGATACTAGTAACTAAATCGAAATCGTGACAAACCATTAATTGTTTTTGCCGCGTTGGTAGATTCAGACTACGTGGTTGAGATCAGCGCGATAACTGTGATTAGTGTTTTGGAGACGTTGGGTTATACTTTCTAGGACTGATCGCAAAGCATTCTTTTTTAGCAAGTTTCCGTTCTACGAAATAGGTTTGCTAACCCCATGTTCCAGCCTCCTTTACCTGAGATCGGGACCGGCAGCAACCCTTAAAACTTTAGGGGAAGTCCTTCATACAGGCTCAGGTCCGTTCACTTTATCTTCATGTTAGTTATGATATTCAATATTATTTCGTACTTTTTGCTACTTTAATCTATGTTCGAACTGTATTCTCCGATATCTAGTCGTTCAGATCACTACTATTTCAATTCTTCTGTAATTCATCCTGCTAAGTTCATCTCGCCGTGATGTTGTATAAAAACTTCGGCTAACACATATCAGGTTCTGTTTTTTTATGGTTGATTTTAATAAATTGATTTCAGCAATATTAGAACATTCTTATGATTAAAATCTAACATAATGTGTTTCACGAAAATAGTTCAGCATCTTTCAATTCTTTTGAATGACGCTTTCACCACTGAAAAATCCAGTTAAATTCAATAAGCGTAAGAAAACTTCAAGTGTTATGTATTCAGATTTCAGTAAAGGATAATTCATTTGTCAATATTTTCGGTGAACTAGACATGTTTAACGAATACCGTTCCACTAGCTTGTATTATTTGTCAAAGTTGATAGTGGATAGAAAAAATAGAGAAATGATTAGTTTATAAAACGGTGCTATGGAATAAATCATAACGACATAAAACTGTTAGTCATTAGGTGGACTCTGCAGACCATGCAACTCTTAGTTACTTGAGATGTTATAAATCCATGGCTCAAAATATAAACTAGTGGTTACCCGTTTAGTTTCTTACTGTATTCCACCATATGGGTAAGATGCTGTGTAACTGAAATAAATCTACCTTGATTGATTCTGTGGTCTTTTCCATATTTCGTTAGATTGCTGTCATTTTACTTTGTATGACCCGTTCCTTGGTGGCTTTATTCCACCAGAATGTTTTACAGTTATAACAATAAAAGTTCACCTTGAGCAGAGATAGATGGTAGTTATCAGAGAAACTCAGGACGCGCGTCCCGTCATATTCGGGACTCATCAACTGGATATGGTTGCATCTGTGAGTTGATGTTCACTCGAACCCAGTATCGTCCGCCTCAAATGCCATTAACTTTATCCATTTAGCCACTGAGTTCAGATAGCCACTAGCTTGTGCAGTGGTGTGAGTTTTAATTCATATATATTGGTTGTTTGTATCTTCCCATTAATATTTAGGACTGCATTTGATCCAAACAGCGAATATATATGAATAAAAGTTCATATTTCAAGATTATATATTGTATTGCCTTCTTTCTCTGTATGTAATGTATTCATCATTCGATTCATCACATTTATAGTTAAATACTGGTCCATATTCGTGGTAGTTCCATGCTCAATCATAACTTCATAAAATTTAAATCATCAAAAAGTGTCTAAGTACTGCTAGTTCTACATCACATGTATTCTGAATGCATACCGTTGGTAAACTCTTACTTCCATGTGTTGTTCGAGTAATATTGACTTTCGGTATTAGGTTTATCACTTGTTTTTCATATGGTTATTATTCCTCCTTTAATATTCGATAAGTTGATTACATTTTCTCAATAATTTTTTGCACTTTATACCTTTCATAGCCGTAAACCTCTAAATGCAAGTGCTCCTGCAGCTCAATCAGCTGGACTGCAATCTACTGTATTGGCACCTGCAGCTTCAGGATTACTATCCTTGGGTACTCGTTATACTCCGTCTTCGGCTACTGTATTTGGTACGACAGGAGGAGGCTCGATATCTGGTGTTAATCAAGGTATAACTGGTGCAGGGGCAGCTACAATGATACCTTCGGGCACACCATCCAGTAATATTGTTTCAGGCGGTGTTGGTACAATAGGCAGCATGGGTGTGGATCGAGACTCCGGTTATCGTTTAGCCGCCGCAATAGCTGGTACTAGTGGTCGAGGCCGCCCTCGAGGTCGAAGGCCTTTGAGGGTGAGTTAAGCCATAAATATTTACATGAATTTCCGTACTATATTTTTTCAAGATTTCGATTGACTATAACCTTCCTCTTCACTTTGATATAGGGTCAGTTTCCTGTTGTTCCAATTGATATGGTTCGACAATTGGGCATTGAACAGCAAGTCATTTTACAACCGGCGGCCCCAGTTGCCATGCGCAACAAAGCTGTGTTATGTCGACCATTGTCCATGTGTCGTAAAACTCAAGCGAATGCAACAACATACGAGAATTTATCCCAACATGGTGTTGCTGTGCAAACGGATAATTCTCTAACTGCAACAGAATCAAGTAACAAAAATGATAAAACATCTCTTGGGATTGAAATGCAAACCCAGACTGTTGACACAAAACCAGTTGAGAGTGATGATGATGATGACGACGATGATGATATGGTACCTGTAGGTGAAATTGAAGATGATCAAATATTAATGAAATCTGACCAACCAAGTTTTAGTTGTGCTGAGACATCAACTGCTGATGACATCGCTTTTGTCGAATCTGGCACTCAAACAGGTAAGTGCTTATTGCAAGGTAAATTCAATAAGTTGCGAAAAATACCTTCAAAATGGGATTTTTTCACAGGTAATGCTTTTTTATAATCTAGGGGTAGCTAAACCAAAATGTGGTATCAGTCCGTAACGTCACTGACTGTTGATCTGATCCGTATTGGTAGATCTAGATTTCACCTAGTTGGGATCCACACGATAACCACGATCAGTGGTTGAAGACTTCTGGTGATATCACTCAATATCGTTCACACTGACTCAGATCCTCTCTTGGTCTTCTAAATATTGAATTCCAATATTCCTTCATGCATACCTTCCCGCTATCTTTTCGAACCGTATTCTTAATGAAATCACGAAACGATCAAAGTCTGATAAACACTGAAAACTTGGAATCTGCACATCCGCTTCGTCTTCGTACGGGGGTCCTCACCAGTGCGCATCCAAAACTCCGTATGCGAGACTCGAACCCAGAACCTTCTGTCTCGCGTGCAAACGCCCAACCTTTAGACGACTGAGTTCGTTGGTCGATGTTAATGCCCAACTTTAATTAACCCAGGATATTAAGCGACCATTTTCCACTGTCCGAAACGGTTGAACTCCTGGTCACTGCTTCACACTAAAACCCTGGAAGATAGTTAATAGTCCCACTAAAGTCTTACAATAAGAGGTGTGTGTATATGCAACAGTCGAGTTATCTGCTAATTTAGTAATAAAGTTTATAAATGATAGTAATTCCGAAAATATTCCCAACATCCACTATATTCGTGTCTTTATTCAATATAGTTCCGTTTATACATCATTTAAAACATTAGTGGCTAACATGACATTATTCGCTTCATTTTGAAGCATTTTAATACCACTACTTTCCTATACGTAGTTTCAACAAGATATTTTGTCTACTCAGTACTTGTTATCAGAAAAAAATATGCAAATAAATGTTGGAAAATTTAGCTATTAATAAATCATAAAACACTAGTTTCTTACTATTCCATAAACTAGGTTATTGATGTACACTGCAGTTCCATTATCTTTAATCTTTTTTTCGAAAATTTTGATTTACCCTTTATCCCCTATCTTACTTATACTTTTAGATTTAACTGATGAAGATGAATTGAAAAAAATGCCACTTGTACTACCCATACCTATCCCGGTTCCAATCTATGTACCTTTTCCAGTATGTTTATACGCAAGACCAGTGCCATATGCAATCCCCTATCCGTTACCATGTCCAGTTCCAATTCCACTTGTCTTCGATGCTACTCCAGAAACTCCGCATGTTGAAGGTAAAATACTGTCTATTAGTTAATTGTCCATGGTATTATTTACGTTTCATTTAAATAATGATCGAGCCTGGTTGTGCACTCCACGTGTTGGTGTATTGTTACGTTCCACCTTTAGTAGATTTACGTATTTTGTGTACTGTAGGGGTGTAAAGAGCAGCGTGCCAGAGAATCTGGAAGAGAAAAGAACAAGAGTAAAACAGTAAGCCGATGACTCAGTAAACACATGGAACACGTTTACACTTAAGAATAAAATCAATCGACGATAATTAGAAATAGTAGGCCCTCGAATACCCTGGTACGGCCGAGAGTGGGGAGAGTCCGTTCTCCCTCTCGAAATGCTCTCACACGGCCACGCGTATACAGCCTCTGCCAAGAAAGTCATACTCACTGACTTCTCGTGGCGGGGGTGTTGTTTACGAAAATGAGAGGACGAAAAGCGAATGTCCGGCGCTTTAACCGGATCCCAAACTGATGGTGCACATGTGCTCCAGTATCGTGCGGGAACAAATGGCGTATGAACCAATTGTTGGTCACCGGCTTCCATGGGACTGCATCTCCTTACGATGCTCCACTGCCTTGTGGATCAGACCCTCAGGTCGAAGGCTCGGGGTGTAGCCCCCTAAGAAAACCACCTGCTACGGTTTGGGCACCCGGGCAGTATCATAGCCCTCACACATATCAAATGAGATTTGTGTGGCGCATATGCATTTGGTGCCTCTTTGTACCAATATCTATGTGTTGAAATAAATAAATAAAATAGAAATAGTACAAGTGTGGGATTAGGACAGCCTTGATAATCAAAACCATAAGTTAATAGCCTAAAATTTCTAATGCGTTATTGTATACTATACCTGTGTTACGCAATATTTCTGTGACGCCGCAACATTGTCACTAATTAAAACGTGTGATGTAGTCGTTGCATATTGCTCACTTGAGCTTCGTGTAAACATATGTGTAGTCGTATAAGTTCATTCTTCATATGAAGGATTATATCTTATAGGTTATATTAGAATAAGTCTTGATACGTACCATCAGGTCTTTTCATTATTCTAATTCTCGTTGCAGTTTAGTGTAATCTTGTTTCTTGAGCTCAATAAACCACTAAAAACTTATCTATGCGTTCTTGGTGGTAAATTTTTCAACCGGAAACTGGTTTACATAAATATAAGTAACTTGTTCATTAGTGAAGCTATACCTCATTGCCGTATCCACTTGAGTTTCAGTTTGTGATTTGCTATGGAACTGGAACACCTACCTCACTTTCAGAATTTTAACCGGTCACTAAGTTTTTTCAGCTTCGGCCCATAGGCTAGTACATGAGCATCCCAATAACTAATAAGTGACACATTTTACTCCATGGACTATTAATTGAAATTGCCATTCATGATCATATTTTATTATCCAATTAACAACCACCAGTCACCGGCATATAATTAGATTGATATTAATTGTTTTCAGCGATATCCATTGGAAAAAGGTAACTATTAAAATGATGTATGTTAATAAAGGTGAGCATCGTGAGGGGTAAACAAATTTTTTCCACTTACAGCAACTGTCCGTTTGCTTCTCGACCAATAAAGAAAGTAGTTCTTTAAACATTCAATCACGAGTCTACTTTCAATAAGTATTGTAATTTTTCTAATTATTATTAGATTTGCATCACTGAGACATACTGACATATATCCCAAAGATACAGAATTCAACATTATTCCCAATAAAATAGTTCTTTCTATTTTGAATTATTTTAGACCAAGGACAACAAGTTGACTTAAGCGCTGGTAGAGCACTCATCGACTCTTCCGTTAAATTCAATGTACATGATTCATCAGTAACGGTAGGAGATAATGATAATCAAGCTGATACACAGGTTGGTGATTTAGAACGTTCAACACAGTCGATTGATTATCCATGTACATCATCAATGTCAAATGACGAAGAAGGCGATATAGAGACAATTGAAGAGGTTAGTCTTTTTCCTATCTTCATTCTCATTTCTCAGCAAATTGTAATTTGAAGTCTTATTGTTTGTGCTGACTGACAAAGTATCTCTGAACTCATACAAAGTTGATTATCAAAAGCTTTTGATTCCTTTACTGTACATTTTTCAACGACTTTGTATAAATAATGTAGTATAGCTGTAATCCAGTGATTCGGGCATTCATTTTTCAACCACTAGTTCTCAGCTTTGTGCCCCACTCGGTCTACATGGATTTGGACAACCAGATAGTTATCACTAACACTATCACTTGTTCAACTGTCCCATTGTAACAGAAATAGTCGTCTGATTTTGAGACAAGTTTTAAATAATTTGCCTATTAATAATTTCATATAACAATTCTTAAATTGTCCTCTCTTGTAAAAAGTTTTATGATCTGCTGAAAAGCAAATAAATTACTTATTTATTTTAACACATAAATATTGGTACAAAGGGCACCGAATACATATGCAGCCACACAAGGCACTTGATTTGTGTGTAGGCTGTGATACTGCCCGGTTGCCCACACCGAAGCACATGGTTTTCTTAGGGGGTCACACTCCGAGCCTTCGACCGAAAGGTCTGATCCAAAAGGCAGTGGAGCAACGTCAGATGATGCAGCCTCATGGTAGCCGCTAATCAACAATTTGTTTATACGCCATTTGTCCCTTCAGGATCTTGGAGTCCATGTGCACCATTTGTTTAGAATGAGGGTTTTCCAACTGCCCTAGATGGACCTTCCGTGTCCACTAACCCGCTTTTCGTCCTCTCAATTTCGTAAACAATATCCCCTCCGCGAGAAGACAGTGAGTAGGACTTCCCTAGTAGTGACTGTATATGCGTGACCATGTGAGAGCATTTCAAGAGGGAGAGTTGAATCTCCCACCCTCGGCCGTACCAGGGTATTTTGGGGATCAAAGTACTCATGCTTTCAATATGCTAATATCGTAAATTTCGGAAATTCAATTGTTTGCTTTATATGTCTATTAAGTTATACTATTTAATTGTTCAATGTCTCTTTTTAAAAATAGCCTAGTGATGCTCCTGGCAAATCTCGGAATGTATCTAATCTTAAACGTCCTGCTCCAGAAGAGTCATCATCTTCAGACTCGTGGGCTTCAGAGTCAACTGCCACACAACAATCCAATGAACATAATCCACCATTTCACCATCATCAACCGATGACATCGGTTGTGAGTCATTCCAGTAGTGTAAGAGAGATAGATCAATCGCTGCCACCGCCACCCCCAACTAAACGGTCTCGTCAAACTCTCACACCCATACTTACATCTGATGCTAATTACCATTTGAAATTCTCTTATGGGATCAATGCATGGCGTCACTGGGTACAGCAAAAATCAACTTCTTCATCTACAGACAAACCTAGATCTAATGCAGCTGCAATGCAACAATATTCACACTTATATGCTGATTTATTAAACATGAGTGATGCCGATCTTAATATCGCATTAAGTCAGTTTGTTCGTGAAGTTCGCAAACCAAATAATGAATGTTATGTGGCTGATTCAATTTTCTATTTGTGCCTAGGTGAGTTTTAAAAATTGAAGTTATTGTTACTATGTTGATTTTATCGTATAACTTTGTTTAAGTGCAATTAGGTAATCCTGTAGTTGCTTGATAATCTTAATGCCTTTTGAACTGTGTAATGTAACAATAGAACGGATCTTCAAATTTTATTTTACTTATAAATTTGAACACATAAACATTGGTTCAAGGGAACACCTAAACACATTCACCACACGATAACAATGAGGTCGTGAAGTTGATGGACAATGTAAATTGCGTATAATAAAAGAACAACAACGAACAGAAATTAGTGTATGAGAGTGAAATAATAATGGGAGAGGCAGTTCAGTTAAAGAAGTCACGTTCATTTTTACGAAGAAAGTTGCAGCAGGACTGCCACTGCCTTTTATTCTGAGCCATGTCTCGAGCCACTGTGTTACATCATCTCTAGGACCCCAACCATGGAGTCATGAAGAACCAACAGAAGCCAGTCCTGTACAGCTTTCATACCACGACACCATGTTATACACTGAGCACCTCTCCGCTTTTTCCAATCACTCCCATCGTCGGCAATTAATGCACGACGAGGAATTCTCTGGGACGACATTCGTGAGCAACGTCTAAGCCACCGAATTCGATGTTTCATGATGGTGATACCAAATGATTTATCATCACTGCGCCCGAACACATGATGCCGAACCTCTACATTACTAGCATGGTGCTGCCACTAGATGTCAGCAATCTTTCGGAGTAAAGAGAATAATGTTGACAAACATAACTAGTTTGCCAAATGTGAATATGCTACTTAAAAATCCTTTGTTTTTTGAGTTGATTAAAATGAACCTACTTTTATCTCACTTTAAGTGGTAGTAATGGGACTTTGTTTTTTTGGTCGTATACGTTTACTCTAAAAGGTATTCAAGAGTATCTCAACGAAAATGGTCGTACTGTAAACTTATTTGGCGATCCTGCGTTTACTAGTCTATCTAGAGCTTTGAATGAAATATTAGCCAATTTCCAACCACGTATTAGTCCTGAAGGACTTCTTATCTGTCGTATCGAAGAAGAACATTTATGGGAAGCAAAACAATTAGGTTCACAATCAGCTGAGGTAGGTTCTAATGTATTCAAGAGATTTTAAAAAAAGATTAGTATTCCAAGATTTATGTGTACGTAAACATTTTGAATGTTTATTGTAAATATTGTTTAAATATCAATATGAAGACATTTGGGAAATCTCTTGATAAATAACTACGTGTTATATCTTGATGTGATATATACTTTGAAATATCAGTAAGAATTGCTCATAGGATGTTTATGTCTTTAGTTGTAAACACTAAACCATCAATTGGCATCAATGAATTTGGAAATTTTTTTCCGTCTACGTAAGATAAAGTAATAAAATGCATTTGTAGAAAATCATAATAGTAGATTTCATGTCTATTGGTCCCCACTAACAATGCTGCTTCTAAACTATAGCAACCAATAGATTGAAGATTCAAACCACACTTCATTTTAGGGATTCCAGATAGTATAACACTAACCCTCCTGCCTGTGTAGACAGTGTTACTCGGAGCTAAGTACATAAACTGTTAATTCATTTACATGAATTTAAAGATTTTGAGTAACCTTAGGATAAACCAAATTTTTCTGTGAAGCATTTGAGTTCAAGTCTGCAAACACTAACAAGTGACATTATTCTCGACCAATTTAAGTGAGATGAAAATAGATACACAAACTGTAAATGAGAATTAGAACTATGCAAAATAAGAAATTGGGAATGTCAGATTGATTTCTAGTTTAAACTGTTTGATTGTGAAACCCTCTATCAAATTCACACACTGATCTATAACTGTTTCGTTTAAACCTTACGAGTATAGGGTTATGGATATTATTTAGTTTTTGATTGAGATCATGATATGATTGATGATAGACCATCATTGAAAACCTGAAAGCACTTCTGAGGAGTCCCACGTTAGAACGAAACGGCCGTCCAGTGCTTCTATGTTTTCAGTGGTGGTCTATCATCAATCAGTTCATGATCTCATTGATGAACCTAATGAAATAGTTTAGAACAACAACCCTAGTTACACAACTCATCGTTCCAGAATTAAATCAAATCAAATTTATTCACCAAGTATTTATGTATGATTCGTGCTCTAAGTGTAAAAGCTAAAGGTACTGCCTGGTCTCCTAAATTGAAGTAGATAGAGTAGGATTCAAACCTGGGCTGTAGTGAGTGAAAGTCGGACACCTCAAATTACTAAGTCATTGCTCCATAACTAGCTAGTAGTCCACTGATTTACATTCTGTTACTTCGTAGCCAGAAAATGGAGATGATCGTCAAGAATAAACTTTAAAAATACTATGCATTATTATTAGTTCTATTATTTTATTTTATTCAATGTACATTTTAGATTTTATTATTCACTATGCTTTACTACAATACCAAACATATTGGTTTACGACTTGGTACCGTTCATAGACAATTATCATTCTCACAATTTCAAATCTCTGAAACAGCTGTTCTTTGTCATTTACCTGGTAATATGTTTGGTGAATCAGATGATTCTATCACTACATTAAGTTTAGATGCAAATCCTCAAAATCCACAACGATGTCCTGTTAAACTTTACAAAGCATACTTTGCCCGTTGGTAAGTTTCTATAAAAATATAAAATTAACAATTTTGTCCCAATACTCACCTGTCCACTGTATTATAGCATAGAGTTCCTATGTAAATTCAGTGTGATCCTTTAAAATAATAAATACAATAGTTAAAACGGAATATAAAAATTATCACTGTTCGTAAAGTATTAACAACAAAATAAGATGATCATGTTATTACTCGGCTTGAATTATTGTTCTTTCAGTCAGAAACATAACCTGATTGCTATAGATATCAATTCCATCTGAAGACCAACATTATCTAAACACCGTACAACCACTTCCTTTCCAAGTAGCTGTGGAAACAGCAGTGACATATATTAGTGATCCAAACCACATGTTTACAAAGAACCAATGGATTTCTTCAAGGTTTACCACACTGATGGATTCTCGTAAACTCATCCCATCAGGTTCTGAACACGATGGAGAGCGTAAACAAATCAGATCTAGGTTAAGCAAAAGTCTAAGGAAGGTTCGTGAGCAGTGGTGGGCAACGAAAGCAAAAGAGATGGAAAAGGCGGCGGCTATAGGGAACACGAGACAGCTCTACAGACTAATAAAAGAAACTGGGATTAATAAATCAAGTGAAAGTGAGACTATTTTGGAAAAAGACGACACTCCCAGTCCAGACGTTTAGAACGATGGGCGGAACATTTCAGAGAACAGTTCAACTGGCCTTCAGCTACTCTACAACTACCCTCCATTCCCAGACAGTGTGAATGGAACATTGAAGTAGGTCCCCCAACTCTAGCAGAAGTCCAAAAGGCTATAGTTAATCTGAAACGAGGAAGGGCAGCTGGCCCAGATGGATTGGCTCCAGAGGTCTTTAAGGATGGTGGTCCAATTTTAGCGATTAGGTTGACTAATATTTTAGCTAAAATCTGGGAGTTAGACGTTATTCCATCTAACTGGCCACAATCACTTATCGCCACAATATATAAGAAAGGTTCAAAATCATCCTGTGACAACCATAGAGGGATTAGTTTAACTAATATAATATCTAAAATACTAGCCTCAATAATTATCAGACGCCTAACTAAGACTCGTGAACTGCAAACACGAGAGACTCAGGCTAGCTTCAGACCTGGTCGTGGCTGCATCGACCACATATTCACCATTCGTCAGATTCTAGAACACAGGCATACTTATCGGCGTCCGACAATGGTGGTCTTTCTCGACTTAAAAGCAGCATTTGACTCGGCAGACCGCGAAATTCTGTGGCAGTGTCTGTCATTGAAAGGCGTACCCCAGAAGTACATAAACCTTGTAAAGCCTCTTTACTCGAACACTATTAGTCGAGTCAGAGCTTATGGCGAACTGTCATCTGCTTTTGCAACCTCAAGTGGTGTCCGTCAAGGCTATCCAATTCCTCCATTTTTGTTTGACTTCATCATAAACCAACTGATAGAAATAACTTTCTCGTCGACTTAATTCTCGGGTATCGATCTCCTCCCAGGAGGTGCACTTATCGACGTCACCTGTGGCGAAGTCTAGGTATCTTCCTATCAATAAAAAGACAAGTATATCCCACGGTAGTTCGTTGTGTTCTACTTAACGGCTGCGGGACGTGGCCATTAGGAGTAGAAGATACTTGTAAGTTACTAGTACTTGATCACAGATGTTTTGGAAATATTGCTCGCATCTGCTGGGATCACCGGGTAGGTAATAGTGAGGTTAGACGCAGGGTATTAAGGAATGATGCGTAAATCAGTTGATGAGGTTGTGAATCTTCATCGACTGAGATGGTTGGGCCAAGTGTTGCGTATGCCTGAACACCGATTACCACGACGTGCAATGCTATCCGGTATTGGAGATACTTGGAAGAAAGTTAGGGGCGGCTAAACCAAAACGTGGCATCAGTCCTTGAAGTCACTAACTTCTGGTCTGAGCCATGTTGGTAGATGCAGACCACTTAGTTGGAGTCCGCGTGACTATCGTATCCAATGGTTGGAGACTGTTGGTGACATGGCTCAGAATCGATCACAATGGAGTCGGTGTATACACTCTCTGTTTTCCCCTAAGCCGTGAGATTAAAATTGCTTTGTACCTTTCTTCCTGCACTATATCCTTATACACAATCTTTCCTTTATATATTACCACCATTGACTTAACCACTCCTATGAATCCGGTGTTTATCTTGTTGTGCTAATGCGGTACGGCAATGAAACCGATGCACATATGTGCCTGGTCCTACGTTGTAGCTGACTGATTGACTGAAACCATCTAAGTATATTTCTTAGTTATCAGTTTTGTCCATTAACTTGAAACATATGATTTAATTTAGTTGCTTAGTTGGACAAAATAACTCATACAATTTTTGGTGTAGAGCAACTAAGAAGCTATCCCATTTAGTATTTATGTTTTCCTCTATTACCACGAATACTACTAATAATAGCAACCATAATTGTTGCATGCGATTCTCTATTTCATTTATATTCCAGTCCCCCAGAACTACTAGATTCCGATAGTGTGTTCTACTTGAATCCACTATATCCTCCACAATCTGATTTGTGGTTTTCAACCAATCCCGTTCGACCAACTGAATTGCAAGTGATACTTAATAGAATTAAAATGGTGAAAGAGATTCAAGAAGCATTTATGAACAGTCAACCAGATGGGGGCTTCTAAGCTCATTTATATATAACCGTATTCTATATGTATTTTGATTAAATTGTTTCTCTCAAACCAATCTATCAACGATTCCCCCCTATTCTCCCTTTTCATATGACTATAAAATAGTGAACATATATGCACATTTGTCTGTCTTTTTTAATCCTATCGTTCTTTATATCATTTTTGCCTCACTTTTTCACCTGTATAAACTGATTGTGGAAATAAATTTTTTACCATGTGTTCCATTTTGTTTTAGTACAACAAATTCTTAAACCCCATGCGATATTTTAAATATTAACATCAATGTTATTGCTTGTTACTCTTGGAAATTTCAAGTAAATGGTCACTTTCTCCAAACAGCGATGATGAGAAACTAATGTAGCTTTATTTGCGAGGCACATGTCGAAGTCCGAGGACTAGGATTACTAATTCGTTAATTTGATCGCATGTAGTAAAATGTTTTTCAAACATATGATCTACTAGAGATGTCACTGAGTCACTTTTCCTGAATCATTTGCGGTCCTTCTTAGTTGTCTCTGAACCCTGGTCGTTACAAATTTGTGAATATGAGAAATGTTCCTTGCCACCATATGTGCAATCTAACATCATACTGAAGGATTGAGTGTAGCCTACATCCATTGCCTTATTCTAGGTTGTAAAATGGTCTCGAAACAAAGTTTTTAATGATTTTTACCTTCGGAGTTAGTGATTTTATCCTATTCTTCCCACCAACTTGTTATGAACTTTGCATCAATATCAGTATTTGTGATGAAGATGTACGCTTAGTTCCTATTATACATATATTGGAGATGTTGCTCAAAGGAAAATCTAACTAATTCAGCGTACTCGCTAGGTTCAGTTCATTTATCCTAATCTATTCCTGGAGTATTGACTATAGATTGTGATTTGTCTAGAAAATGACGCTATATCATTTAATTATTGGTCATACAGTTCATGAAAAAGGACTGGGAGTGTTTAGCTTACACTGATAATTTCTATCCAGGGCCATCAGAAGAAAGTTGACCTGACAGCAGTCTGTGTGTTCCGTGTCAATCCACATAAACGTCAGTCTTCCTAATAGTCAGATTAACGACTCGGCGAAATGGCAGCTACTACCTAATGTAGTTACTGTGGTTCGTCAGTTTGTATTGTGTATTCTTTTCCTAAAGTGATATGATGTATCATGAACAGGGTAGTCACTGATGTAATATCTCCGCCAGAGTCTTATGATCAGATCAACTAAAACCCTATCTGATTTATGGTTATCTACCACATTAAATTTTTATGTCTATGTTGCCCAATAGAAGAGGTATTGCACTTCAAGTCTAAAGTTGTTGGCGCCTGATTACATATTAGTGATGAAACTGTTGTCGTTTCAAATAAATACTCTATTGTTTCTCACTCAAAAGTATTTAAGGCCAAAAGGACGTCAGAGGACCTCGAGAACGTTTCTTTTAGGGTTTTCACATTCAGTTCTTGGTGAGGCTAACTTTATAATATCTCATGTTAATGGATGAAGCAAGTATGTTTTCGACACCTAGCATTCTACTTGTTAGTTGTAGAAGGACGCTGGTCATTCATTTGTATCCTCCAGTCAAAGATGATGGTGAACTTTTGTTTGTGTATGGATACGAAAATGCCTAAGTATTTCAGTTTAGCAGAGTACTTTGTGTGTCCTACATCTGTCAGCTCAAGGAGCTTTGTATGAACTATCAACAAAGCAGAGAGTTTCAAACGGTCTGCATTAATGACTGACGGTAACTACTAATTTGTGATTCCATAGGACTAAGTGTAGAAATGAATAACCCCCAAAAATAAATGGTGAAAGGAGCTAGCTTAATTTCAATCTGATGACGGTAACCGGTATTTAAAAAGCTTCATAGCCCGAAATAGTAGATTTTATGAATTTAAGTTAATCAGCATCTCAGCTTCATCGGTTAGGAACTTCAACTAACACCTCCGTTCGTTACTGCTTGGCAGTTGTCAAACGAAGTGAAAACTAGGTTCCCTCGCTTGTCTCATCATCTGTTACGTTTTTCATTTTGATAACCTCTCTATTATTCCAGATATTTCAATGACTTAATATAAATCCTAGCCATTAAGGTCAGAGACTGTCAAGTGGGCGGTTGTGAGGAAATCCCCGTAACCATACAATCAGCTGTTGTATAAGAGTCATCAAGATCCCTCCAGTCAAACTGTTTGCAACAAAAATACTCCATGCATTTCGATTTACTAGTAATCCCAACGTTACCTCTTGCTTAACAAACAAGCTTAATATCGCTTGGCAATTAAACGTGTTTATAAAATCACCGAAATAAAATGACCAAGCAGTCATACGGCACTCTAAAATGGGAATGAAATCGCTAAACGAAGATTTATTCAGGATCACGAAGGTTCCTTTGAGAGTTGGGTTCATAACTTCAATTTAGAAACACTGGATTCCGAAAACCTACTATCATAATTACGGCTGTGGCCGATCCAAAATACAAGCCTTACTGGGAACAATTATTGGTAGAGACCAAAACGAAATATGACAGTCAGGCATTTATTGTGTATTTCGGTGCTAACTGTCCTTGTAAATAAAGCAAAAGCCAGTGTAATATCACTCCTTTGAACAGAAAATAAGTCTTCATTCGTGATAAAAGTCACAGCTAGACTTCATGGGCATATAGGTGGGACATTTCAAAATCGATACACCTATGGATGACTTCGAGGTAAATTCAGAAGAAGACACTTCCTGTTATAAGCTAGGTCACTTATCTAATTGCTTACTACCGGTTTGTCAATGTCTCAAGAAATTAATTCTCTCTATGACATTCATTTTTCATTCAAGATAATCCTTCAGCAATTTAAATATAGCAAATATCTCAAGCAATCTGTCGAGTCAAATATAATAACAAAGATTGAATTATTAGTAATCATCATCAATGTTTGCACCACAGAAGCTGTAACAATTCTGCTAACTCATTCCAGCGGAAGAGTCGGTTGGAATCTCAGTCACTTGATATGGGAAGTTTGAAAAACTCTCTGAATTCTCAGCTTAAATGATAGAAAAAATACTAAATTTCTAGAATAAATAAAAAACTAGCAACTAATGTGAAATTCAGAGAAGGTAGAAAACAAGTGTCGGTACATACCGAATCCGATTGTACTGTAGTGACTCACGTTTATCACGAGAACACGACTGGTTTAATGAAAACAATTATTATTATAACCAACTGTACCAGTGTTTGTTTTAATGTGCTTTTGTTTAACTGTGCTAATTATAGCCATTTTGTGCTTCCATTACCTTCCATCATTGTTCCGCGGTTTTTGGTACTGTTCACACGTACTCCTGTTTTCTGCTTACGCTTGTACCTCTTCTTGGCACGATCTCGGTATTCGTTCAATACCACGAGATCGCCAACGAAATAAATCTGGTTACGTTCAACCCTCGCCTTTTGATTTATCTGGCACGTGTTTTCAGGTAGCGGTGTTCACAGTTAATCTCAACTCGACGCCACGTTACAGTACCTCAAGTAAATAGATGTAAATGTATCACGTATGTGACCACCATTGCAGCGGATACAGGGACTTCCCTTCTACTTTTACGGTGGCATCTAAAGAATTATGTCAACACAGTTCGTAAGCTTTTACTTTCAGGACGCGAAGGCGAAATCGAAATCACATTGTTACTAAACTCATACTGACTCTCACCATTATTAGCTGTCCCATTAATTAATGTAGAGTTATTTATGTTCAGAAGGCAGTACCCATAAGTAGGTTTAGAAATAAATACAGTTTTACAGTCATTTTAAACATGTCAAATAGAAGGAGACTTTGTAGATTGCGTGGAATTTCGCGGAGACCTATCACCATTTCAGTTTTTAAGCAGGCTAGAATTTATGCACAACGGTCTTCCAACTTTTAACCGTCTCAGTGTGTTAGCCACTACAGCCGCATTTACTACACGTGGTCCTGAGACCCTAATGAATACCGCGTTAAATGCATACGAAAACCGGATCTAAACAAAAACTTTAAGTGAAATACAGAGTGACAAGAAGAAAAACGTAGCAAAATGGCATACAAGTACAAATACACTAAACACGCAGTCAAATCATAGACGACAAATGTTCAGTCATAAATTAAGAATTCTTCATTACCGATTTTGGGCCATTTCTACTGGGTCTAGAAGACCTGGGAATGCTTCAGGGACAGCATTCCCCATTGGCCACTGATGACGGTCCTAATGAAGTGCTTAACAACTAGCTAACTACAGGATCGAGGTGAGAACAACGCGTGACCCCAAAGCTCTATCATTTTCATTCGCAAGCAAGAAATGCCAAGACCATGTAAACAAACGCCCATTCTAATACTGCTGCGAAATCCAAAGATACGGCAAGGAGAGTAGACAAAGTCTTTTAGTGCAGAATTACTAGGCCGTACGCAAAAGAAACAATGATGAAATTGCTTAGACAAAAAAATCTTCGTACAAGAACGCCTTTTCCATAGTCTACGAAAGGTCTGCCAAAACAGGCCAATAAGTCCATGGTTCATATGAAAGCCAGTCACAACAAGTGGATACGTTACAAGGACCAATTTCCATTGTTAATTCTAGCACCAATAAGTACATTCTAGATCATGCAAAGATTATACCGAGTACACAGGCGAAAAGACGCATGATAGACCTAAGGAAAAGACGTACAGCTGATAGCGGAAATCTGAATTTCCATTTCAGTTGTGACGGTTGTTGTATTTATACTCACTAATAATTTCTTCGTGCCTGATTGCGCGCTCATTGCGAATTTCAAATATATTACGTCCAGTAGTGCTCATCTAGTTCTATCTAACATGAATAGCACTAATTCGGGAATTCTTAGTTAACACACTAATTAGACTTATTCTAATTATCATACCTTGAGTCGTTGGCCTTCTTCATTCGGACCAAATTTTGGAATTTCGGTCGGTACAACCTCCTCTTGAGCCTTATCACTATATCCCACCGCTTGCAGGTGTCTATCGATATCTGTAACTCTACTTTTGTATCATGACTTGCAGTATCCCATGACAAGCAAAAGAGTAAAGTGTGTTCATACATGGAGGGTCACAAAGTGGAAGATTCCACTTTCAGACATATCTTTTTGCTCTCAAAGTTTGTGAGCGTCATTTAAACGTTATTTAGTGAGTCCATCCGAAACTGTGTTCGAAGTTTAGTGGGACTGCTCTCCAGATGTATGATTGGGATAATTAATAGTGATCGATTTA